GTAGGTATCCTTACCTTATTCCTGATCTTAGAGGAAAAGCTTCAGTATTTGACCACTGAATATGATGTTTGCTGTGGGTTTTTCCATATAGTGTTTTTACAAGATAGTTTCTTTCTATTCCTAGTTTGTTGAGAGTTTTTATGATGAAATGTGTTGAATTTTGTCAAATGCATTTTTTTTGCATCAATTGAGATGATCATGTGGTTTTTGTCCTTCCTTCTGTTAATGTAGTGTATTTCATTGATTGATTTTTGTATATTGAAACATCCTTGTATTCCCAGATAAATCCCACTTGATTATGATGTATAATCCACATGATATGGTGTTGAATTTTGTTTGCTAGTATTTTGCTGGGGATTTTGCATCAGTGTTCATAAGGGATATTGGTCTGCAGTTTTCTTCTAGTGTCTGTATCTGGCTTTAATATCAGGGTGATGTTGGTTTCATAGAATAAAGATACTTTATATGATATCTATCTTTTAAAATCTACTGGGACTTAATTAGTGGCCTAACATATGGTTTTATCCTGGAATATGTACCATGTGCACTAAGAAGAAGGTACATGCTGTTGGGGGTAGAATATTCTGCATATAACTGTTAGATCTGGTTGGTTTATTACATTGTTTAATTTTTTCTCTTTCCTTATCTATCTTCTATTCTGGCTATTCTATTCATTATTGAGAGTGGGGTATTGAAGTCTCCAATTATTAATATAGAACTGTGTATTTTTCCCTTTAATTTTGTCAGTTTTTCCTTCGTATCTTGATGGTCTATCATTAGGTACATAAATATTTATGATTGTTATATCTTACAACTGTATTGAAAATTTTAATTAATATATAATGTCCTCCTTTGTCTCTTGTAACATTTTCTGATTTAAAGTTTATTTTGTCTCATATTAGTACAGCCACCTGTGCTGTTTTGGTTACTATTTTCATGAGGATCTTTTCCCATTTTTTCACTTTCAATCTACTTGTGTCTTTGGATGTAAAGTGAGTTTCTTGTAGATAGCATGTAGTTGGATCATGTGTTTTTATCTATTCTGCCAATCTGTGTCTTTTGATTGGAGAGTTTAATCCATTTACATTTACAGCAATTACTGATAAGGAAGGATGCACTTCTGTCATTGTGCTGTTTTCTAAATGCCTTACAGCTTTTTTGTTCTTTATTTCCTGCATCATTGTCTTGTCTTTAGTTGACTTTTTAGAGTGAAAGTTTGAATTCTTTTGTCATTTCCTTTTGTGTATTTCTATAGCTGTTGTCTTTGTGGTTACCACTGTGATTGCCTTTAATATTCTAAAGTTATAATACTCTAATTTGAACTCATACAAGCTTAACTTCAATAACATATAAAAACTGTTCCTTTACAGCTCTGTCACCCTTTTGGTTGTTGATGTCACATAACCACATCTTCATACAAAACAAATTAATAGTTCTTTTAAATGCATTAGTATCTTAAATTATGTAGAAAGCAAAATGTGGAGTTTCAAAGTTATAATAATCCTAGCTTTTAGACTAGTATTAGAATTAGTCACTTAACCATGTACAAAATCAAATGTTATAAAATGTTGTTACAATAATAGCAGTTTTTATAATTGCCCATGTATTTACCTTTACTGACATCTTTATTTCTTCATATGGCTTCCAGTTACTATTCAGTGTTTCATTTTACTCTGCAGGACTCCCTTTATATTTTCTTGCTGGGCAGGGCTGGTGGAAATGAGCTCCTTCAGCTTTTGTTTATCTGGGGATGTCTTTATTTCTGTCTCATTTTTGAAAAATAATTTTGTTGAATAAAGGAATCTTGGTTGAGTTTTATTCTTTAGCACTTTGAATATATCAGCTCACTACCTTCTGGCCTCCAAAATTCCTGATGAGAAATCTGCTAATTATCTTACCGAGATCCTGTATGTGATGTGTTGTTTCTCTCCTGCTGCTCTCCCTCATTTCTGAAGGATGGTTTTGCCGGATATAGTATTTTTGGTTAATAGCTTTTTTTCCTTCAGCACTTTGAATATATCAACCTATTGCCTTCTGACTTGCAAAGTTCTGCTGAGAATCTGCTAAAAATCTTATGCTAAAAATCTTATGCAATCTTATACACACCATGTATATGGTGAATCACTTTTTTCTTGCTGTTTTCAAGATTCTGTCTTTAACTTTTGACACTTTGATTATAATATGTCTTGGTGTGGGTCTCTGGTTTAATCTCACTGGAGTTGAGCTTCATAAAATTGTATGTCCATTTCTTTCCACAGATTTGGGAAGTTCAGGGTCATTATTTTTTCAAATAAGCTCTCTGCCCCTTTCTCTCTTCTCTTTGGACTCCTATACTGCATATATGGTCCACTTAATGATGTCCCATAGTCCTTTAGGGTCTCTTCAATTTTCTTCATTATGTTTTCTTTTTGTTCCTGTGTCTCAATGACTTCAAATGACCTTTCTTCAAGTTCATTGACTGTTTTCTTCTGCCTGTCAAGTCTGCTGTTGAATCCCTCTAGTGAATTTTTCAATTCAGTTATTATACTTTTCAGCTCCAGAATATGTTTGATTCTTCCTAATAGTTTTTTAATATTCTCATTTTGTTCATGCATCATTTTCATGCTTCAGTTAGTCATTTCTCTCTCTGTTCTCTTTTAGCTCCTTGTGCATTTTTTAAAAAAGATTTATTTATTTATGTTAGAGAGAGAGTGTGTGTGTGCACACATGTGCACACATGAACAGGAGGGAGTTGCAAGAGCAGAGGGAGAGAGAGAATCCCAAGCCGACTCTGTGCTGAGCACAGAACCCGTTGCAGGGCTCGATCCCATGACAACCTGAGCAAAAATCAAGAGTTGGATGCTTAATTGACTGAGCCACCTGGTGCCTCTCCTTGTGCATTTTTAAGATAGTTTAAAAACATTCTTTGTTAGGAAATTAAGAGATCTGTGTTTCTTTATGGTTGGTTTCTGGAGCTTTATTCTATTCCTTTGACTGGGACATATTTCCCAGTTTCTTCGTACACCTTGTAATCTTTTGTTGAGGCTTAAGCATTTGAAAAAACAAACACCCTTCCCAGTCTATCCACTGAGTTCATGCAGGGTAAGATCTTCACCAATTAGCCTGGTTAAGGGTTCTGGACTCTCTCAGAACTTTTCAGGGGTTGTGTTTTTTCTGGGCTTGTATCTGTGCTTTTATCTATCTTAATTTTCCAAATGGCTTGCCTTTGTTTCTTCTCAGGAGTGCAGTTTCTTGCTCCCCTGGTGCCTGCCTGTGGAACTACAAAATCGCTGAAGCTCTAACATGTGGCAGTGATCATCTCTCTTTTCAGCAGCTTCCAAATTATATCACTATTCCCATCAGTGCTCTGAGTCAGGTAAGACCAAAACTATCCTTTGGGCAGCTCCCTAACAAGCCGGGGCACTGGACTCAAAGTCCACTCTTTTGTTTCCACCCTGAGGGAGGAGCTGAGGCAGGTGAGGTTTCCTCCCAGTTGCACCATGCTATGCTGGGTAGGGGAGGGGCATGGACACACAAAATAACCCAAAATTTCCTATTCCTTTCATTGAGTTCTTTCTTGATTATGCATTCTCTTGGGTACTGAAACTTCATAATTGATCTCCAGAGTTTTCACAAAAGTATTCTGGTCCATATGTTTTTCTTAACTTGGCATCTCCATGGGAGAACAATAGCCTGGAGCTTCCTTGTCTATCATCTTGGTAATGTTTCCCAGATCATTCTTTTTTTTTTTTTAAGATTTTATTTATTTGACAGAGAGAGACACAGTGAGAGGGAACACAAGTGGGGTTGTGGGAGAGGGAGAAGCAGACTCCC